CCTCCTACCCACCCCAGGCGGCCAAGGAGGCCGGGGCGCTGCGCGGCGAGGTGGAGGGCCTGCGCACACAGCTGCAGCAGCAGAGGGACCAGGCTGCAGCGGCGCTGCAGCAGAGGGAGGAGGCTGCGCAGGTCCAGCAGCAGCATCAGCAGCAGATCCAGGCGCAGCTCCGGCTGCAATTCCAGCTGCAAGGCGCGGCCAAGGATTTTAGGATAAAGCAGCTGCAGGAGGAGGCGGCGCGCTGGCAGGCGGAAGCCGGGGAGCTGTCGGCGCAGATCTCCACGAAGGACGAGATCATCGCCCAGATGGCGGAGCAGATGGCGCGCCAGCAGGCGGCAGGCGAGGAGGCGCGGGCGCGGGTCCAGCACCTGGAGGAGCAGCGTGGGAAGCTGCTCGCGGTGAAAGTGGAATACAAGGAGACGGCGCGGCGGCTGCGCGCGGAGAGCATCAGGTTGATCTCGGAGGCGCGCGTCAAGGGGGACCACGCCATGCGGCTGCAGGGGTGGCTCAAGCTGACGGCCGACGGCGCAGAGACGGCGCGCGGCGAGGCGGCGGCGCTGCGGGGCGGGCTGGCGCGCATGCAGGCGTGCCTGGGAGCGGTCCGGGAGGAGTGCGCTGGTGTTGACAGCTGCGTGAGCGACAGCTACAGCGGCAGTGGCGGCGACGACGACGGCAGCAAGGGCTGGGCCAAGGGTGCCAGCGAGCCCCAGGCGCTCTCCGGCGGCAGCTGCGGCGCCACCACCACCGCCAGCAGCAGCGGCGCCGTTACCCCTGCCAACGGCTGCGTCGACGCAGCCGGCAGCCGCTCGGTCGATGACGCGCATCCCGCCTGCGCCGACGTGCCCGAGGCGGCCGGCGTTTTGATGCCGGACGCCACCGCAGCCGACGGCGCCGGCCGCGCAGGCGCGCTGGCTGCCTTGGACGTCGCCGACGACACTCAGGCCTGCGCCTCGCCGAGCGGCGGCGCGTGCGAGGTTACCGCCGCGGCGGTCTGCCGCACGTGCAGCGACGCCTCGTGCGGCGTGCTCGAGGCCGCCGCCGCCCCCGCCGCCGCCTCCATCGCCGCCGGCGCGCTGCAGCAGCTATACGCCGCCTCAGAGGAGCAGGTGCAGGCGGACGGCGGCAGCTGCAGCGAAAGCGAGCACGGCCAAGACGACGACGCCTCGGCGGCTGGCAGGTCGGACTGCTCTGTGGTCGTCATCGTGCGCGTCGGCTCCCCCTGCGGCCTCAAGGCGGGGGCGGCGGCGGCGGCGATCGTCGAGGGCTGCGACTGCAGCGGCGCCGATGACGCGGCTGAGCGCGCGGCCGGCTCGACCCGCGGCGCGACAGCCGTGAACGCCGGCGGCGAGGGGTTGGCGCCAGGCGCGGGCGTGGGCGCGCGCCCAGCCTGGTGGGGCCGGCTACGCGGTAAGGCGTGCCAGGCCAAGGCTGCGCTGCGGTGCGGGGTGCTTGCGCCCCTGTGCTTTACGGGGGCAGAGGCCGACCGCTTCTGAGTGGCGGTCTGGGAAGTTCCACCGATCAAACATCACTGGGCGAGAGCACCCAAACATGTTTGCAAACACACGAACCTGGGGGTGCAAACAATTTGAGCCGCCGCCATACCGGCCGCCAAACGTACGTGTTGCTGCAGCATGTGCACCTGGCTCTGGGATGGAGCCTGCATGTATGCGCGGGCTGTGTGCACAGTGACACTGCCTGTGGTGCCTGCACACCTGTCACAGTGCGGGATTCAGCAGGGCTGATGGGGCAACCTCATCCTTCTCTGCAATCGCATGAATTGGGGGGATTCGAACGTTTTGAGCCGCCGCCATACCGGCCGCCAAACGTGCATTTCGCTGCTGCATAAGCACCTGGCTCCGTTTGGTAGCCTGCATGTATGCGCATGCCGTGCACAGTGATGTGCCTGCGGTGCCTGCCTACGCACCACCATGTGGGATTCAGCAGGGACGGGCTTGCGGCTGCTTTGCGGGTTTGACGGATGCCTCATTATCCGCCGCGGGCGGCCGCGCTCCGTCCCCGCGGCAAGGAGTTTGTGAGCTTATGCACCAGGGCCAATGCAGCCAACTTGCCGACTTTTGGGGATGTTTGTATGTACACGGCCTGCCAGGAGGGTGCGACCCTCCAGCCTGACGCAAGTTTGTGCACACCCGGGAAGGGGCCTGGCGGGGCCCGGGGCCCCCTGCCATTCGCCGCATTCCTGTACTGCATCGGGTCATGCGGGTGCCCAAGCGAGCCGCTTGCTCCACCGTCGTCAACATCGCCAAGAAAGTGCTTTGAGCGCACACCAATGACGCTTGAACCGCTACGAACGCTTCGATGCTGCTCGCAGCTTGGCGGCCGCAGAGCGCCGGCACCGCCCACTCGCTGGGCCAACCCAATGTTGCGCGCACAACGCGCACTAGAATGTATGGAGACGGTCTGCATGTTGGCAAAAAGCCCTCAATGTCCATCTTGACCGCCATACTCCCCCTGTGAGCAACTGTTCTGCCTCGACTGCTTGCTATTCGGCACGCGCTGCTTGCGTGGCGCAGCTTGACAGAGCACGCGGATGCTGCAGCTGCAACACTGTGCCCTTGAGGAGTGGATGTGTCACCCCCTCACCTGGTCAACAAACACAGCAGGGTTGTTTGGTTTCACTTGCAGGAAATCAGATCAAGTAGTTGAATAGTAATTGCACGCAAAGGCGGGGCAACACAAAAACGTGTTGTGTCTGTGTAAGCTGCAAGCAGCCCACAACCCAGGCGATGAAAATAAAGCACGAGGGTCCCAACCGCAGCATGGCGTGTCTCAAATGTAAGCAATTTTTTGTACGCTTGCCCAGGGATGCCAGTGGCATCGAGTAAGGGAAGGCAGCGGGCGGCAGCAGTGGCGTCAGCGGGGGCGGGACCACTTGAGAACACCACACAACACAAGAAGCGCCTCCATCAGATCTCAACAATCAGTGCAAGTTGCCCTGACCTCAAAAGTCGATAAATTGTAGTTTGGGCGGGGCGCACGCTGGGATGCTGCGGCCGCCCAGCTGCTAGCTGGCATTAGGGCGCTCATCGCCTGTCCCCACAACTGCTGTCAGCGCTCCTGCGCAATCAATCAAGCGGCCCCGCCCAGCACCGGCACGAGCCGGCCGCCCCATCATGACATCATCATGCGCCATCCCCTGTCCTGCATCACGAGAGCTTGTTGCACACGGCCGCGTGTATGGACTGCAGCTGCCCGGCCCACTTGCCCATGGCGGCGTACTTGCCGCTGCCCGCCGCCCTGTCGCCCACCTCCAGCAGCTGGTTGACCTGGGAGGGTGGTGGCGGTTGTGGGAGGTTTGACTGAGGTTTGACTGAGATTGACTTTTCGGATACCCTGGAGCCCGTCTTGGTGAAGATCAGCGTCCATTTCCTCCTCGAGTCCCGACCTGGTTGCATGCGCCTTGTGCTGTGTTTGTTCAGGCTGGGGTGTTGCCAAGTTCAGGTTTTCGTGTCACTTGTCTTGTCTGTCGGACTCCTGTGCTGCCAAAGCGTGATGCGGTGTCACAAACATGCCGAGGACTGGAACGCAACTATCAACGAGTGTCTGCAACGCGCCATGGCCAACCAGGCGCGGCAGCCCCCATAGTGCTACGTCAGCCACGGCCACACCAGGTCGGGTGGGGGTTGAGCGCTCCCCGGGTGTGATCAAAGACAAGAGCCACCCGGGGGAAGGGGGACCAGCCTAGCCGCCTGATGTTGTGCATTGATTCAGCTCGCCAAATCACTCCGACTGCCTGCTACCATGCACATCTCCATCTTGGAAACAAGTGCCCTAAAAACACAATCAAGAAACGTGCCCCCATCAAGCCCCAAACACACAAGGAATCCCGTTAGTGAGTTGTCCACCCAGCCACCTGGTCCATGTGTCTCGGTATCTTCCCGTCCAGTGAGAGTGAGTCACCAGCAGCTAGAGCTGCTGCCCACCCCCGGGGGGCGGTTGAGGTTGGTGCTGACCAGCGGTCGACAAACCTGCAAGGGAGCTTTTGGGGATCGTGCACAGGGCGGGTGAGGGGGGGGATGCAGGGGCGGATGAGGGCGCTGGCCTCGTTTGTTTGGCGTGTTTATTAGGTGCTGTTTGAGTCGAGAATTGGGGGTCCCTTGATGGGACGCTGACCATCAGTGGTGGTCTGATGGGGGTGGGATGTGAGACTTATGTGCGTGTGATTTTGGCGAGGGGATGCTGGCAGAGAGACAGGACTGAGCTTCAGGCCGTGCCCACTGCAAACGCACGACGCTGGTGTGTGCGTGCTGGCAGCGGCCACCACGCGCCTCGGCACCCCACTGCTGAGCTGGAGGGTGCTGCGCGTGCTAAGCAGCCTGGCGCACGGACCTGCGCCACCCCTTCCCCCTTTCCACGTCACAACCCCACGCTGCCGTGCCAACACCAACACATGGATTCGCTGCTCCGTGTATGCAGGCCACACGCCTCACTCGCGTGGCTGCCCGTTTCGTGTGCCGTCCCATCGCCGGAGGTCACAAAACGAGCGTCCACGTGGTTGCAGCGCCGCTGGCGGGCCCTCGGCCTCAACACACAAACACGCATCCGTGCACACACGCACATCCCAACAGCCAGCGCCCAGAGTACCCTGGCACGTCCCCCACCCCCCAGTGAGCGGCGCCCCTTGACCGAAGCTTGTGCAATCAGTTGACCAGTGCGGCCCTGGACAGCGCCGCTCGAGTCAAACTGCGTGGAACAAGCCCCGAGTGTGCCGGGCCTATAGGGTTTAGGGGTTGAACCCTGCACCCAACCCCGATGCACATGCAGCAGGCTACCCCTGCGACAAAACAACCGTTCCGCTCCCAGTTTTTGACCCCACCTGGTCGATGTGTCCCTGCATCTTCCTATGCAATACGAATGAGTCACCAGCAGCTGCTGCACGTCACCCGGGGAGGGGGGTGGGGATTGGTGGGTGGGATGGGGGGCTGTGCGATTTCCATGGTCAGCAGGATGATGTTGAGCAGAGCCCCCTGCATCTGCCTTCAACCCTGGCTGCGCGCGCGAAACCCCCCAAGACGCATGACGCAAAACGCGATGCAAAAAAAGGAATCATCAGTGTACATTTACCGGTAGACTCCTCACCCACCCCCCTGGCTTTCGAACAACAATGAGATTCCGCCAGCAGAGAAACCAAACGCGCACCTGCAGGTCGCGGGTCGGCGCCGTGGCACACGCAGGGATGGGCTGCCGCAGGGGAGGAGTGTTGGGTGCTGCAGAACCAACCCATGGCGCCCGCACGCGCCGCGCTTGCAGCGCTTTGAAACGAATTATTTACAAACGGCAGGCATGTGACTCATCCGTTCCAGAGCCGGGGGTGGCAGGTGCGATGCAGCGTGGCGGCCCCAGTTTGGGGTGTGTGCTGCACTTCAGTGGACCTACACTCAAGACCAGAATGGGCGGGTTGCCCTCAAATGTTGACCAGCAACAATAAGATGACAGGGAGAGAGAGAAGAAAACGGCACAGAACATGAGCAGGAGCCAATTAGGCCAGAATAATAGAGGCTTGAGAAAAGACAATCACCAACAACACTTCCCAGCCAAAGCAAGCCCACAAAGCCTGCAAACGCCGCCGGCGCTCGGCCGCCGCAGTCTCAACGAAAGCTCACCGAAGCGCCTGCTTACAGAGCGCTCGCGGCCGCTCCGCGCCGCGCCGGCGCCAATGCGACCCTCGTCCCACCAATTCCCCCACCCTGCCTCACGAGAGCTTGTTGCACACGGCCGCGTGTATGGACTGCAGCTGCCCGGCCCACTTGCCCATGGCGGCGTACTTGCCGCTGCCCGCCGCCCTGTCGCCCACCTCCAGCAGCTGGTTGACCTGGGGGGGTTGGTTGTGGGACGTTTGACTGAGGTTTGACCGAGATGTGACAGAGGTCCCCAGCAAGAGTTCAGCAGGGCTGATGGGACAGGTGTGCCTTAGTGAGAGCTCCGGCATCAGGGCTGAGATGGCCCGAGGGGCTGTGCCTGTCCAGGGTTTGACCAAGACGAAGACTGAGCGACATGTTTTGACCAAGTTGACTGCATCCGCGGTCGATGGCTTGCGGCGGCCCGGGGCGGAGTGCCGGACGTTTGTGAAGGGACCACGCGGCGGGCGCGTCTCAGAGGGACGCGGCCGCATCGCTCAGCAGGGGCGAGGGCCATACTGGCTTTGGGGGCCAAGGCGAAGGCGGGCTGGGGGAGGGGGGGGAGGAGGCTGGGGGCTGCGGCGCTCTGCCTGCCCGGGTCGGAGCTCACGGTTGGGAGTCCAACCCGGGAGAGGCTGCGTCCGCGCCCGCCCAATGCCCCGCCCATACCAACAGCGCGAAAAGCCCATGCTCGCCCCTGCCGCGCGCGCCCTGCTGCCGTGTGTTGACCGGATGTGCTGCCCGCGGAGGACCCTGAAAAGAACGGCGACACAAGCGCCAAAGGGTCAACCAAATAATGACAACACAGGCGGGACCCTCGACATGAAATTCCCCTCAATCTCCGCCCCACCTGGTCT